ATCCGGCTGCTGCTGAAGGTCTGCCTCAGATGGAGCAAGCTCGACTTCAGCGGTCTCCTCAGCCGAAGGAGAAGGAGGAGGGTCAGTGGGCTGAGGAGGAGCAGTGAACCCAGCACGACGAGTACGGTCATACTCACGCACCAACATGCGAGCGTGCTGCAAGTGCTCGAGGGGCTCCAAGGTAGCCTCCTCATCAGGGTTACCCTTCCAACGTACGAGATACTCGACGTGGGGAGGGTTGTCGTAGGTGACTCGGCGGCCAATGATGTCTGAAACGAGGAACTCCTTGTGGCCGTCCACCATGAGGGGTGGAGGGCGCTCGTATGGTCGTCCAGCGAAACGCTAAGACGGTCTGCGGTAAGGACGCAGTAACGAGACGTGGTAGACATCATGCACACGAGCCTGGCGTAGGTAGTCGGGCAGCTTCACACAAAAGCTGACTGGGCTAGATGCCGTATCAGAACCGACGGCCTGGAGGATGCGGCATGGGCCAAAGAAGTGACGCCGAAACTTGCGAAGCGTGTCCGCTTCGAGCTGTAAGTGGCAGGCGTCGATAAGCACATCATCACCGACCTTGAATGGGTGATCCATCCTCGATCGGTTCCCACGTGCCGCCATGCGAGTCTGGGAAGCGGCTATGTGCTCATGTGCGGTCTTCATAACCGACGTCATGTGTGCAACCCAATCATTCAGCGCGGGACAACTCGTGTCAGGGTGCATCTGGGACGGTCGAAGGAAGTCCGCGGGAACACGAGGGTGATAGCCGAGGTCGCAATAGTAAGGCGACATCCCCGTGGCTGGCGACACGGCGTGGTTGTAAGCTATCTCCGCGTAAGCAAGGTGAAGATATTACTGCTGGTCGTCACGAACAATCTTTCGAAGAATATCTCCGAGAGTCCTGTTCGTGATCTCGGTCTGACCATCAGTCTGAGGATGGTGAAACGAGGAGAAGCGGAGCTAAGTGCCGTATACCTCGTGGAGTCGTTGCCAGAATCGGCTGGTAAAGCGCGGGTCACAGTCAGATATGATGCTCAAAGGTAAGCCGTGGTCACGCACGACTCGGTCGAACACGATATCGGCGACCTCATGTGCACTGATGGCATAGCGGCACGGAACAAAGCGTGCACGCTTCGTGAAGCGGTCGACGACGACCAGGATAGCATCATGACCGTGAGGGGTCGGAGGACGAAGAGGACCGATAAAGTCCATCGAGATGGACTGCCAACGACCCTCAGGGATAGGAAGAGGCTGGAGCAAACCATAAGGCAAGTGGTTCGCACTGTTCACCTCCTGACAAGTCAGACACTCTGCGACCTAGTCCTTCACAAAGTCCTTGCGCTTTGGCCAGACGTACAGGCGGCTCACACGAGCCAACGTCTTGTGGAAGCCCATATGACCGGCAGCTGCCTGGTCATGGAACTCTGCTACTGCTCGGACAGGTAGCTGTCCAGTGGAGGGAACGCAAATACGGGGCTCTCTAGTACCCTGTGAACCGTACCAGTACACAAGACCGTTGTCCCCGAGAGAGTAGTTCGGGACGGTCTTGCCACTCCGAAGGGTCGCGTGGATGTCGCGATAGTCGGGGCAGTGGCGGTACTGACTGCGAAACTCGTCGATCACCGAGTGGTGGACGGTGGTGACCGAGATGGAAAAGAGCTGGATGTGCTCCTGGTTGTGGTCAGGGCGCCGGGATAAGGCATCTGCGACCCGATTAGTTTCACCCTTGATGTGCTTCGTGGTGAAACTAAACTCGGATAGGTCGCGCCACCAGCGAGCTTGTCGAGGAGTGAGCTTCGGTTTTATCAGAAAAGCCTGGACAACAGAGTTGTTTCTACGCACCGTGAACGGTGCCCCGTGCAGGTAGTGACGCCAATGCCGAGCGGCATAAACTACTGCGAGAACCTCACGTTCATCAGCGGTGTAGTTTATCTCGGCGGGCAGGAGCTGATGGGAGTAGAAGGCTACCGGACAATCACCGGAGCGAGACTCGACAGTGCCGTCCTCGGCGATGGTAGGAGAATAGTCAATAGAAGTCTCGTCAGTAGCTGGACGAGTAGGCGTCATTCGGGAAGTAGTGGTAGGGGTAGGTGGTGGGAAGCGAGGGATACGAGGATGAGAGGAATCAGGAGAGGAGGAGAAGACCTGAGAAAGCACTGCTCCTACAGTGAAGTCTGATGCATCGGTGGTAAGGATAAAAGGGCCGTCAAAATCGGGTAGGTGAAGAACCGGTGCGCATGTCACCGCCTTCTTGAGGGCGCGGAAGGCGTCCTTGTGGAGGGGTGTCCAAGCCCAGGGTGGGTTCTTCCGGAGGAGGGTGGAGGTAAGGACGTAAGAATACCTAGCGTATCCCCGGATGAAGTTACTATAGTAGCTGGTCAGGCCTAGGAAGCTGCGAAGCTGCTTGGCGGATGTGGGGGTGGGCCACTCCGCAATAACAGTGATCTTTGCGTCGTCCATGTGCAGACCCTAGTCAAACACGTAGTGTTCTAAGAAATCCACTTTGTGCTGGGCAAAGCGGCACTTGCTCAGCTTGGCGTAGAAGCCATGTCTGCGCAAGCAGTCAAGGACGACGCAGAGGTGTCTGAGGTGCTCCTCGAGGGTACGACTGTAGACCAGGATATCAACGAGGTAGACGAAAACGTACTGCTCGAGGATGTCCCTGAAGATGTCGTTCATCGCCCTTTGGAAGGTGGCGGGTGCATTGGTGAGGCCGAATGGCATCACCGTAAACTCATAGTGGCCGAAGCGCGATCAGAAAGCTATCTTCGGCTGGTCGGTTGCAGCGACGCGGATCTGATGGTAACCGCTACGAAGATCAATCTTCGTAAAGAAGCGGTTGCCTGCTAGGC